GCAGGATAGGCTGCATTGTATAATCAGTATTTGCTGCACATATACCCCCATCCATCTTTTTCTACTCTCTCGGTACTTTGTTAGTATAATTTAAATTGATGCACAATTGAAATGATAAAATACTCAAATTAAAAAAGAAAACCTATTAAGTTGTGGCTGCATCTTTTGAAGGCCCAGACACAAGACAGAACTCCACATTTGTTTTGTTTTTTTAATTCAGTCTCATGATTTTCATGGGACCTGACAATTTTTGAATGCTTGAGGTTGGCACTATTGCACTTAAAAAATTCTGATGCAGAAGGAAAAGTGATATAATTGGGCCAAATGCTAGTCTCGGTTACCTGAGTGGAAACCAGAATGACTGAATTCATTCTGGTCACTAAACATGCACCAAACTAACTCAGCCCAAGGTATTCCTAGGTATGCAGGGAAATGCTGCTCTCAACTCTTTCTCATTTTAAGCACCAACTCACATCCGCCTCGCCCATAGTTTCTCTCTCACTTTTATCACAGCGAATTATTGACATAAAGGCTGATTCAGGCAATGGATATGATAGAAAACTTTGTACCTATACTAAATCAGAGGCAGCTGAATGTAACCACTGAGAGTTGTATAGGCAATTGGCCAAGGACCCAGGCTAGAGCTGACTTGCATGTACATTAATCCCTAGTACAAGATTGAATGCAGACCTTAAAATGATAGGAGAATCCTTTTTTCACAGGTTACCCATTATGTGGCACAAGACCTGAAGGGTGAGTTTAGTCAAGGAGCTGGTATTGCTCCTCTCTCAAGGGAAGTATAAATTCAGGCATGTCACACTTCTAACAGAGATATGACTTCATAATTCAGGATTTTTTAAAACTGTTCCAGCCCTGACCCTGGCTGATTGCCAACACTGATGTCACTGCCTTTATCTTTGGGCAACCTCGTGCTTTAGCCTGGAGACAAAGTTTTCTGTCATTTCCAGTGCATGAGTCAGCATAATCTTACGCAAGGACTTGCTGTAACAAATGTGAGATAGCAGATTTTGGTGGGACAGAAGTAAATTAGTTTGTAAACTGAGGAAGAGTTGAGAAATGCATTTCAGTGCATGACTGGGAATACATTAGGGTGATTTGGGCTGATACACACTTACTATTTACTGATTTCCAGCCTGTTGTTTTTCCTTCAGTTATCATAACTAGAGAGAGCAGATATTTAAGATGGAATACCAGGGCAATTGCCACAGGAAGTTAAGAGTGTGGGTGGAGAGACCAGTGCTCTGGCTGGGCATTCAGAGGCAGCATGGACACTCCCCTCCTGAGCTAGCCATGTGCCCCTCTTCCTGAAGAGAAACCACCCAGACTGTTACTGTAAGAGGATGAAGTGGGAGAAAAAATTCCTTACATACCATTGCTCACAGTTTCAGCTCCACCTCTTGGCAGGCTTCGCTAATGCTCCCTCTTTAGTTTAGTCCAAACTTAGTTCTGTATTGCTTCTCAGACTCATGTAAATTTCACTAGTCGTCGTAGGGAAATCCGCGGGGGATTTAAATATCCCCCGCGGCATTTAAATAAAAATGTCCGCCGCTTTTTTCCGGCTTTTAAAAAAGCCGGAAAAGAGCGTCTAGACTGGCCCCGATCCTCCGGAAAAAGTGCCCTTTTCCGGAGGGTCTTATTCTTACTTCAAAGTGTTTACTTCAAAGTGTTTACTTCAAAGTAAGAATAAGACCCTCCGGAAAAGGGCGCTTTTTCCGGAGGATCGGGGCCAGTGTAGACGCTCTTTTCCGGCTTTTTTAAAAGCCGGAAAAAAGCGGCGGACATTTTTATTTAAATGCCGCGGGGGATATTTAAATCCCCCGCGGATTTCCCTACGACGACTGCTGAAATTTACATGCCCCTTCCGGAAAAGGGGCCAGTGTAGACGTAGCCTTAGGCTGCATCTAGACCGGCATAAGTTTGTGCAAATACTTTTAACAGAAAAGTTTTTCCGTTAAAAGTATTTGCACAAGAGAGTGTCTACACTGGCATGTGCCTTTACGCAAAAGATTTGCTTTTGCGCAAGAGCATCCGTGCCAGCGTAGACACTCTCTTGCACAAGAAAGCTCCGTTGGCCATTTTAGCCATCTGGCTTTCTTGCGCAAGATATTAACTTGGCTGTCTACACTGGCCCTCTTGCGCAAGAATACTTGCACAAGAGGGCTTATCCCTGAGTGGGAGCATCAGACTATTTGCGCAAGAACCACTGATTTTGTACAATACAACGTCAGTGTTCTTGCGCAAATACTCGTGGCCAGTGTAGACAGGTGGCAAGGCTTTGCACAAAAGTGGCCGCTTTTGTGCAAAATCTTGCCAGTCTAGATGCAGCCTTAGAGTTTCTGTCTCCCTGAGTTCTTGGTGGTTTACCTCTTCTCTCTGTTCCTTTATGCTTCTCTCTTGTTCCAACCTGCACTACCTGTACTAACATAGCTTTCCTTTTCTCTACCAGGTCTTCCTCAAGCTTCTCAGTGTCCCACTTACCCTATTCCAGTGTCTCTTTCCTTGCTCATTCTCTCTCCACCTGTATCACAACTGACCAGAGGAGAAGGTGGACATCTTGCCAGAGATATGGGGTACCTGGAAGTAAAAATGAGTGGAGGGGACTGGACAGAAATCTGAAGGCATGTTCAGGGCCAGAAATGGGCAGCGAGAAGGAACCTAAAAACATGTCCGGCACCTAACAAGAAATGGGCTGGGAGTGATGGATGCATGAAAGTAACCCTACAAAAGTCCCATTAGACTGGAGTCCCCAGTGGAGCTGCTGTGTATCAGGCAGGAAATGATGTCAGAGTGCACAGCTGAGAAGCAACCTACAGGTGCTCAGGAGCAGCAGGCAGGGCCAGTCAGGCAGCCATATCTTCCAGCACCCAGCAGAAACTGAGACTCACCCTGTCAGGTCCCATATAAACTGGAAAATCCCCAGCAACCCCGCTTTCTCTGATTGTGACCATAATACTGGCTAGCAAAGGTTGGATCTGTCAGATCAGCACTTTGGCACTGACCCAGAAAAACACATGCTTAACCATTAAGTGCTTTTGTGGGTTAGTGCCAGAGAATTCAACACCTTGCAGCATTTAGCCCTCGGTGGGTGTTTGTCAGGTTGGACAATTTTTGGCTTACTTAAAACAAACAAACAAAAAAACCAGTACTGATTTTTAGGAGACAAGGGCCAAATCTTCAGCTTGTATAAAATCAAGTAGTTCCTTTGACTGAAGTGGTGTTATGCCAATTTATATCAGCTGAGAATCTGCCCCTACTTTCTAATTAGAGCTGCTTCACAATCAGGGTCTTATGTATGACAAATGAACTCTCTTCTGATTTTAATGAATACTAATAGTAACATTTACAATGGCATTCTTCAAATATATGTTAAAATGGGTATGCTATAGTAACCATGCTCCCAATAATACTGCTTTGTGTTTCCTTCTTACTGTGGTTCTCATATACTTTAACCAGCATTAATGATTTAAGTCTCACAACATCCCTCCAAGGTGTTCATACAGGGAAACTGAGGTACTGAAACTGGATCTTTCAACGATGTTAGGCAATGTTCCTGCTAAACTTTTTCAGCCATGTGTGGCTTAAATTTGTATGTGCACCAAGGCATGTGTGAATGTGCACCATCAGTAGAAACAAAAATCCTACCTGTGGGCACTCTGCTAGTCAGCTGGGTGGCCTTTGAATCTCTCCTGAACAAGACACACAAGCACACAGTTTACCGGGAACACTGGTGCTGGGCTCCCCCCACTTGCCATTGTAAATCATCAGCTGCACTGAAATCCAGGGGTCCTGGGGACAGCACCCCTCCAAACGCAGCCCTATCGTGCATGCCAAAGGTCATGGGGCAGCAAAGGTGGCTCGAGTACCCAGGTCCCTCCCAGCCCATGCACTGTGACATCTGGGAGTCGGGTCACTGAAACGCTGCGCTGTGCAGCGCCATGCAGCACCTCGCTGCACATTGCACGCCAGCAGCTGCACTTGGCTTCCCCTAACCTGCTTACTAACCACTACTATTGTCCAGGCGCTTTGCGAGCATTAGCCCTGGCAACAGATTTGCCTCGAGTACCCAGGTCCCTCCCAGCCCATGCACTGTGACATCTGGGAGTCGGGTCACTGAAACGCTGCGCTGTGCAGCGCCATGCAGCACCTCGCTGCACATTGCACGCCAGCAGCTGCACTTGGCTTCCCCTAACCTGCTTACTAACCACTACTATTGTCCAGGCGCTTTGCGAGCATTAGCCCTGGCAACAGATTTGCACGGCAGCCCCTCCCCCCCCCCCACCCACCACCCCACCA